CACAATTGAAAAAAAAAAAAGAAATTCAATTGCTATGCCAAGTTTTGCCACAAGATGTCCCCAGCAGACCACAAAATCTTTTCCCAAAGGCCAATTTGCTTTTTTATTTTTCGGTTAAAAAAGCAGAAAAAAAGGTATTTTCCAAAATTATTAGTTTAGGTAAATGATAGTTTGGGTAGTTTAAGTAAATGATAAGTCTCTATAATAAGAAGTTTTGGGGACCCAAGGTATCCACAAAACAAAAATCCAGTTATCTGGTTGTTAAAATTAGTTATTTTTTTCTTTTCTTTCCAAAGCTTAAATTCCCAAGTATGCAAACGCTGCTGAATTGAGAGCAGGGAGAGAGTTTCAAGGAGCTTTCACATGAAGGTAGTTAGGGTAAAGACAGAGATAAGTAAAGGTCTCACCCAGATCTTCCACGGTGCTTCATTGAGCTTAAAGTGCTTTTGGCTTTCGGCTGGTGCAGCTAGGTGGTCAGCCATCAAGATGGCCAATCTTTCTTCCATCGAGCCAAAGGAGCTGCATAAGCTCAAGCGGGAGGGCTGCCACCCTTCCACGCTCAGGCAATGGTCCTCCTTAGCAGTGGTCGCCCCTCCAGGGTGACTTTCGACTCTTTCCAGGGTCTTTCGATGGAAGGAAACCAGACGTCGGGGAGGGAACCCTTTCCGTGCATCTGAAGGCGCTGCGATCCAGAACCGGAAGTCAGATGCCCTTTTTTGACTACCCTTTGAATTACATTTATGTTGGCAATTATTTAATTTGCCCTGGTATTGTATCAGTTAGGCAGTCTATTAATAAGAGTTGTTTTATAATTTTGCTACATAGTATGGCATTGTAGCATTTTATACCATTGAGAATACCATTGAGAAAGAAAAACAAGAAATCCACGAAGAAACCAGCATGGATGCACAAAGATCTCACTAACAAATTAAAAGACAAAAAGGACAAATACGAAAAATGGAAAGAGGGGCACATAACCAAGGCAGACAGCCAGAACATGCAAAGAAGAAGTCAGGAAAGCAAAGGCGCAGAATGAATAAAGACTTGCAACAGAAATCAAGGACAATAAAAAAAGTGTCTTCCAACTCATTAATAACAAGAAAAAAGTCAAGGAAACTGTAGGCCCACTAAAAAGAGAAGATGGCAATGAAATTAGAGGCAACATGGAGAAAGCAGAGCTGCTTAACTCATACTTTGCATCAGTCTTCACACAAAAAGAAACCATAACCCAACACACCCAAAAAAAAAAAACACTGCGAAAGACATACTAGAAACAAAAAGCAAAATAAGCAAGAAAATGGTAAGCGAACACCTATCCAATCTTGACAAATATAAATCACCAGGACCAGACAGATTACATCCCAGAGTTCTGAAAGAGCTGGCAGATGTTATCTCAGAACCATTGCACCATATCTTCCACAAATCCTTGAGCACCAGGGAAGTACCCAAGGATTGGAAAAGGGCTGATGTGGTCCCCATCTTCAAGAAAAGGAAAAAACAGACCCAGGAAACTACAGGCCAATCAGTTTAACCTCAATACCTGGGAAGATCCTAGAAAAGATATTTAAAAAAAACAGATATGTGAACAACTAGAAACAAACAAAGTCATAACTAGCAGCCAGCACGGATTTGTTCATGCCAAACCAATCTGATCTCATTCTTCATCTTGCAGATGGCATCAAACTGTCATGAGTAGCCAACACCCTAGAAGACAAAGTCAGGATCCAAAAAGATCTTGACAAACTCGAACAATGGGCCCTATCCAACAAAATGAGTTTCAATGTGGGGAAAAGCAAACTCTTACACTTAGGCAGGAAAAACCAAAGGAACAAATACAGATTGGGCGAAACCTGGCTTGGAAGCAGTAACTGTGAGAGGGACCTTGGAGTTGTGGTAGACGATCACTTAACTATGAGCCAGCAGTGTGTAGCAGCAACCAAAAAAGCTAATATAATCCTGGGTTGTATAAACAGAGGCATAGAATCAAGATCACGCAAAGTACTGGTACCACTTTATAAAGCCCTAGTAAGACCACACCTCGAATACTGCAGCCAATTTTGGTCACCATGTCACAAAAAAGATGTTGAGAGTCTGAAAAAAAACTAAGATGATCAAAGGCCTGGAGACCAAAACATACGAAAAACGGCTGCGGAACTTGGGTTTGGCCAATCTAAAGTAAAGAAGAAATAGGGGAGACTTGATAGCAGTATTCCAGTATCTGAGGGTCTGCCACAAAGAAGAGGGGGTCAGGTGGTTCACCAGAGCACCAGAGGGAAGGATGAGAAACAATGTTTGGAAGCTGATCAAAGAGAGAAGCAACCTGAAATTAAGAAGAAACTTCCTGACAGTGAGGACAATCAACCAGTGGAACAATGGAACAGACTGGACAATCACCTGTCTGAGATGGCATAGGTCCCCCTGCTTGAGTAGGGGGCTGGACTAGAAGACCTCTAAGGTCCCTTCCAGCTCTATTCTATTAATATATTACCAGGATATTTTATAATACAGTGTAAATATACAGACTTAAATATATGGTTGAACTTGTTAGTTCATTAACAAGCTATAATATTAATATTAAATACCTCTTTTCCATTGGATTGGTATTAAAAGATTAGAGACAGTACTTCCATTTAAGATCCAAATTAGTAAATTGGAATTAAAACACAGCTGGTCCTGTTTTAACATAACAATGTGTGGAAGACTGGAGGATGGAAGGCAAATTATTTTGCCCAGCATTTCTTCCTATGTTCAGAATGTATACATGAACCAGCAAGATTCAGAAATAAGATCCTTTGCTTTACTTTAATAGTCAGTGATTATATTTTAAAAAATATTGTAATTAGTGCAGTTATTAAATAGCTATTTGAAGGTTTAATTTTTTTCCATGAAAAAATATTTTTGAATCCTCAACATTTTAACATAAATGTAAAGACTGTTGGATTGGCAGAATTATTTTGCATTTTGTTTTTCCCACAATTTCAATTATGGGAAATCATCCCTGTGTTGGCTTCTGGCTTATTGTTACAATTCAGGGACCCTTCTATGCAGTTTTTCTTAAGAGTGTATCAACTATGAAGGTCTAAGGCTTTATTTGTAGTATTTAAATGAGGGGGACATTTTTAAATGTTATCCTTGCCATAAAATAATGTGGATTGAGAGGACTCCTTTTGTCTTTCAATCACATACAACGGACCATATTTTTAAAAAAGCTTCAGTTTCATTTAAATTTAAGTTACATAAAAATTCATTTCTCAGAATGCCTTTCATAAGATCACCCATTGTATGAAGGTGGAGATTTGTAGGTTGGTTTCCGAAAGTTTCGTTACCAGGCTAGGTAATATCTTCAGCAGAATTTAGAGGATGTCAATGTCAGTGTATTTCTATTTATAAGGGCTTCGTGTGGCCAGTAGGTCTTGTGATGGTGAGGTCATGTCAGGTGAGGGTCCCATCAGATCAGAGTCTTGTGATGGGTCAGGTGTGAGTGTGTCAAGTGAGGGTCTTGTTGTGGGTCTTGTGATGGGGAAGTTACATCAGGTGAGGGTCATTGGGAGGTGAAGTGCTGGTTGGTTGAAGGTCAATGCTGTCTCTGGTTCGCTGTGCAGTTTATTTGAATTCTTTTTTTTTATTAAAAGTTTTACAAATTTAATACAATATAACCCAAACCCCTCCCACCCCTTCCCGCCTCCCACCCCTTCCCCCCTCCCCCACTTCCCAGAGCTGATTACAGGGTAAGAAATAAACAATCATAATCTAACTAACATTACCCGCCTGTACTATCAATCAAACCATAACATACTTTAACTCCTTTTCAAAACAAACATTAACAAATTAAAAACATAAATAATATAATTAAACCATAACACTAAAAATAATATAAATTCAATCATATTAAACTATTAATAATAACCTAAAATCTACTCATAAGCAAGATAATACTTTTCAGTCTCATATTTCTTTTGAATATAATCAATCCATCTTCTCCAAACCGAAATGTCAGCTTATTTGAATTCTGATGGGTTTGGAAGCATCACTGGTTTAGACAGGAAGGCGGTGCAGAGAGTGGTGAAAATGGCTAAAAAGATCATTGGCAGTTCCCTCCCTCCTATCCAGGACATAGTACAGAAGCGTTGCTTGAGCAGGGTCCGTAAGATTATCTGGGACACTACACATCCTCTTCATGACCTGTTTTCCTTGTTACCTTCTGGGAGGAGGCTTCATGGTATCCGTAGCAGAACATCCAGACAGTTTCATTCCATACAGCATTAACCTTGTGAACTCTCAAGCTTCCTCCTTTCATTATATATTCAAGATGGACAGTATTTAATATTTATTTGCTACATATAAGTAGGGATGTGGGTCTATACATATGTTGTTCATAGTATGTTTAGGTGTGCGTCATGTATGTGTTTCACTTAGAGAGCGGGCAACTAAATTTCATTTTTGATGTGTGCCGTTGTGCCCACAGTAAAAAAAATGACAATAAAGGTTATCTTATCTTATCTTATCTTGTAGGTTGGGTATAGGTTGATGTGTCTGTTGATGGAATTGCTTGTGGAGTGCCAGGTTTTGATGAACTCACAAAGCGGGTGGTAGTGTGGCCGATGATTCTTGTATTGCTTCAATCAAATGGGTGCTGTCACCCATCATATATGTAGTAATTTCTCCTTTCGGGCACATTAAACCCTATAATTCTCTGACTTTTTTTTTCAAGCTTTGGGAGCTGCCTCTAAGAATTCAAAGCCTGTGTAGAATTCTGGACTTCAAAGTAGCATTCTATGCCAGGAAATTTATTTTGCATCATCTCAGTGATACCATGAGTTTTCAGTCCTGATAGTTGTATCAGAAATATAGGAACACAAACAATGTTTGTTTTCTTAATCACGATGAGATTTTTCTAAGATATAAATTAATGCTTGGATTGGGAGGAAAAGAATTTTCTTCTTCAAAAAGTTATTTTATTGAATATTAATTCAAGCATGACATTGTCATTATAATTGCAGGTGTTTCAACGTTCCTTTGCATTGCTCCTGGTGGAAATTGGGATCCTCAAGGGCCAGACCTCAGCAATTGTTCCTCACTTTGGGTCAACCACATCACTCAGAAGGTAACTGTTCACTTAGACTTGATATATTTGTACTAACAGTGTATGTTACCGTCATTCTGCATTCATTTAAAAACAAGATTTTAGTAATCCAAACTTTGAATAAATGAAAGCAAACCATTGTATGCAGCAAAAGAAAGAGCCTTGGAGAATTATGTTAGACTAAGATATAAAAGAGGCTGAAGATCAGTTTCAGCATGACTTATCTTAAGTCAGAGTTTGACTCAAGGATTTCGTGAGAATAATCAGAAATGTGAATCTTTATAAATTAAAACTTTTAGATATATTAAAATATTTTAGAAGTGGTTTTATTATGTAAAAAAAATCAGAATCTAACACCATGAAAATTCAAAAAAATACTTTCAGATTTTACTAGTATGGATGTTAGCTGGAGAATTACTTATTATAACCACTAGTCACAATGCACATATACAACATTTCAGGAGCACATGAAATAGTATTGAAAATAAGTACTTTGTGCAGTTCCTACATTTTATTACCCTTAGATATCATATTTTATTACTCTTATCTTACTTTTTTTCTTATTCTCTCAGCATAATATGTCATGCATCTCATGAAGTAAAATTTATGTCATAATAAGTTATTATAAATATCTAGTGGTTTAAGATTTAAAAAGAGTCAATATTTGAGGAAAAATTATGTGGAATTTTTAACAGAATTATGATTTTTATATAATGTGCCCGAAATTTCAAGTTGCTTTACAATAAAATATTTAATTGGTCTAAATAAAGCTATTTTTTAGAAAATGTACCTAATGGACAGAGATTATTCATTTAATGAATGTTTTAAAATATTCTGTTTTTTAACTAAAGTGCTTTGCATGTTTCAAGATAGCGAGAGTGACTCTTATGGGCGCCAAGTGTGTGTGAATAAGTGAGAACTCTTCAAATAGGAATAAATAAATATGACTAAATAAGGACATGATTACACTTTCAGTTCCAGCTTTGTTTGGATCTTTTCCCATACTCTGTCCTGTAGAAATGAAGGAATGGAATTATCCACATTAAACTAGCTTCAGTTTCAAAGAATTGCATTATATTAAGTAATCTAATCTTCTTTTCAGAAAATGGATTGAAATGTCATTTAATTACTCAATTTTAAAACGTTGTTATGATTGCTAGTTTCACATTATAAAATGAATAAAGACTTTCTCAAATCTTTTTCAAGTTTTACAAAACTGTTAAAACTATTTATAACAGAAAAACAGGATTGGAAGGGACCATAGAGGTCTTCCAGTCCAACCCCCCTGCTCAAGCAGGAGACTCTATACCATTATTTGTGAAATAAACCTGAGCAGAAGTTGTTCTAAAGTGTTTTTTTTTTCAAGGACTTAACATTTTTATAATGTTTCATGGAAAGTAGCCTCTAATAACTCATTTTAAAATAATCTATATTTTATTTATTCTATAATTGATGTGTTATCTTGTTCAAAAAAGGGAGGAATGGTTTTATTAATTTGATTGCTCTTTGGATTATGTGTCCAAACATTGGTCATGCTAGATTTTTATTGCCTTTATATTTTTATGTGTTTTCATTATTTACAATATATATCAAAATTGCCTTTATTCTATGGATAAATGACACTATTCCTTAGCTGCCTCCAAAGATAAGACCTTCAATTCACCCAGTTTTTGGAGGCACAGAGATTGTTGACAGGGGACAACAAAATGGCAGGTGCAATCAGGGAACTGAATTTCTGCCCCTTTTTATGTCTGTGTGATATGTGAACAGACCTTAAAAGGGAAATGAGCTTCAATCACCTGGTCACACTTGCTTTTGATCACTCTTGTGGATGCTTCAATAAATATTACACATTGCTTCTTTTTCAATTAAGCAGCGATCATTGCCAGTGATCATTGCAACCCTGATGTTTTGTGATTTGGCTTCTTTAATTTCTTAAAGCAATTAGTTTCAAAAAACCCCAGTGAAATAAAGCCACTGTCCACAGTTCAATGGATTTCATAAAAATTATACCGTAAAGCAGGGATAGCCAATTTATGATCTTCAAATGATGCTTCCAGAAGCCCAGTCAGTATGATCAATAGAGAGAGAAATAGGGAGCTATAGTTCAATATCATCTGAAGACCACAGATTCATCATTCTTGGCTGAGGCTGCAATCCTATTTAGTTCTACTTAGAAATAAATCCCCTTGAAATCACTGGTGCGTATCATATAAATAACTATACAGTTGCATTCTCATTAGTATTTGCAACTTCATTTTGTTGAAAAACAAATATTTGATATGTGTTTTACCTACACTTTTTTCAATCCATTTTCTTCCCAAAACCAGGATATATTTTTTTTAAAAAATCCAATATTTCGTATAGTTTTCTATTCAAAATATAGATCAGCTATTTCTTTCTTAGTCCTTATTTTAAACAAAGCAGTGCTGCAACAGGCAATTGCTCATTGGTTATCACAGAGCTGATAATCTAAATCTGTTCCATATGGCCCAGCTGTTTCCAGTCAGAACATAAATATTGTAGCTATTATACATCTCAAGTCACTCTTCTCTTCTTAATAATTTGTATCAGGATGGTATATACAATACTGTCAACTTTTCAGAGTGACATACAGATGTTACTTTATGTCATGCTCCTTGTGTATGAGGTTTACTTCCATCCCCTGAAGAGCTACAAAGACTTGACTTAGGAAGGTCTGATGATTTCCAATAAGGTTAAAAGTGGTCACATATTGCCACCAGATGGAGATACTGGTTTTCCTGTTACTTCCCTTCTTTCTCTTTTAGTTTGCATTGATTAGTCTAACTTTTTCAGGTGTATGGCTCATTAGTTCGCATGAACAGAAATATAATTGTTGTTTTAATAATTGTCAATTATTAAAATTTGTATTATTTATTATATTGTATTATTCAAAAAATTCAACACAAATAAGAAAGCTCTTTCCTGTGATTAAAACAAGCTGTACCAACACAGCTAAAGAGATCAAGATGTCCTCCTTGTGAAAAAGGACTGTACAAAGGGCAAAAGATCCTTCTAAAATGGGTGAATGCCACAAATGTATGGGGAGGAAAGCACCTGCCTGTTCTCCATAGGTGACATCTTTTGATGTGATTAGCAATGAGCATTTTTTGACAGAGAAATTGTATGCTCTGAATTATGGGAAGGTGTTGTGCAAAGCAATTTGGTGTTTAAGAATTTTTTAAAGAATCTGATCCACTGTGATTTCAGAATCTATCTACAGAAACGTCAGAATATGCCTTATTTCAACAGATTATTATATTCCTTGCAGCTCTAGCAGGAAAATTTATTGCCCCTACCACTTTAGAGAACTCATGTAGATTTTATTAATATTTAAAGCATTTGTGTTTGACATGAATTCTGTTCAAAGAACATTTCACACAGAATTCCAAAATTCCAATGACTGAGTTTAGTCATTTGTTTTAAGAATTATAATGGCCTAGGAAATGCTTCAAGCCCTTTCAAAATTTCAAAAATGCTACATTGCTATTGTTGGTATCAGCTGGGCTGCCTTTAATGGTCCCTCATCATGAAACATACATTTCTCTTAGGCTAGTCCATAAAATATCTTGACATGTTTTCACATTTTTTTTTCAACCATAGTTGAAATCAGGAGAGACAGCTGCCAATGTTGCTAGAGAACTTGCTGAACAAACAAAAAGCCACTTGCATGCAGGGGATATCACTTACTCAGTTCGTGCCATGGACCAGTTGGTGGGGTTATTGGATGTGCAGCTTCGAAACCTGACACCTGGTGGAAAAGACAGTGCAGCACGAAGTTTAAACAAGGTAAGAATCACATCTTTTAAACTTATGATTGTAGCTTGTGCATTTGGCCACGAGAATTCCTCTGTACTTATTACTGGGGATGGGGCCTTATGACCCTTCTGAACAGAGCTCTTTGCTTTTTGTGAAATCAGCTGCTATTTATATAACTATGGTTTCAGAAAATATCAAGATAAGGAATTGTGTAAAATAATTTTCTCAACTTTAATTTCTATGAATTGTAGGAATAAATAGAAAGATACACATAAATAGTAAAACATATTAATACACAAAAAATCCTCCGTTTTTAATTCTCCTTTCCAGATAAAATAGAGTTTTAATTTCCCTTTACCCAGTTTTTAACTTGAAGGTATAGGATAGATTATCAGTAAGATAGTAATTCTACAATTTCTACCCATTATACAATTTCTACCCAGTTATCTGGTGGTATGTCTCTTCTTCAGTAGGCCAGATAACATTTTACTAGATTCTAAAAATATGCTTTAGTTTCTCCTAGCATAGCTATTTCAATGAGCACTGGAGATATAAACTAGTCTGGTCACAAAAAATCTGCAAGCAAACAGCCAAACTCAAAGACCACCAAGAAATCTACCATTCAACCCTGAGCTACATATATTTTATTGATAGATAATCCTATGGATTTCTTAGGTAGTTTTTCCTTTTGTGAATGACAGAAACAGAAACGTAATATCAGGATAACCTATGCTGTAAAAATAGTTTGAATATCTACACCAGATTGAGGAAACTCCAGTTTTTACAGCACTAGACAATGTTACTGAAGGTTTTTTTTCCTTACTTCTTCATTTAGTCAGTTTTGCTTCTACAAATCCCTCCCATTCCTCACTTTCCCCCTCTCCTAAGAACACTTTCCAATAATTACCATGTGAGAAAAGGAAGAGGATTACAAACATTACACAGAGTTCCTAGCTCTGTGTAATGAGGTTCTGAATATACTGTAGATGAAACTAATGGAATTTGAGACCCAAAGCATTTGGGAGATTGGAGAACACCAAATTGCACCGGCAATGTAAACACCATGGAAGAGCTCTGGAACTTTATTAATTCTTACCTTTTGCCTTTCTTCCTAGCTGTCATTCTTTTCCTGCCCTTTGCATTTATGGGAAAAGGAGGAGGGAGAGACTAGCCCCAAGACCCAAAGAGAAAAGTGATGATATGCTTACTCGCTGGCTTTCTTTATGGATTTCTAATAACCTCCCCTTTCCCAAACTTGTTTTCATTGTTACTTTTGAAGACCACCACCCCAATTTTCTTCCTCCTCATACTGCTGTGTTGATAGCTGAATCTATAACTATGCTATTGTGAATCTGATTGTATAAAAAGTGTAGTATGCCCCAGATATCAATTTGATAACTCATGTAATAAGTATTTATTAGATTCATGTTGAAGTGAAAAAGTGAAATCACTGCTTCATATGCAAAACTTGGAGAGACATAACAGACTAGCATGTTAAAGAAAAGACTAGGTTAGAATATCATTATTATGGAAAATTTTGTTCATTTACATGGAGAAACATTCCATCATTTCTCTACTAGTATAGCTTAAAGTAAAACTGCCCAGAGATTTTTCAGTCCAACATAATCAAAATGTTATACAATATCTAAAATAACACATTATAATTAATTGTTGAAAGCATTGAGGGTTACATTCTAATTTTTTTCAGCTCTGGGATTAAAAATGGCAAGCAGGATAAGAGAAATTCATCAATGGAATGAATTACCCCAATGCAGGGTTTCCTCTCCATTGGTTGAGCTCAAGCAGAGTTGAATCAATCATTCAGCTGGGATGTTTTAATTTGGATCCCCTCACTGAACAATAGGATTGGTCCCAACTGCCTATCTAGTTCCTTCTAACTCTAGGCCTCTATGTTTCCTTAGGTACTCAGGTACAAGGTTTATAAGTGACTCTGTAGACTAACATCACTTTTTTGTACTGATTCCAGAAGAAAAGGAGGTGCTGTCAGGAAGATTTGATATTCTGACTTCTGCCCAATATTTATCAAATGTTAACAATATTTGACAATATGGCAGGGTTTTCATTGTGATGTCATAATATGCACATGTAGTTGTTTTGCATGATCATGGTTAGGAACCATCCTGAAAATCAGCTTATTTCAATGTGATCTACAAAAACTCCCAATCAAATAATTAAATAAAATAGATAAAAAGTATTTCTGACTACAGCCCTATTTGAATATCCTGAATACAATCAGAACAAAATAATTCAAAAATAAACTTAGACTTTCAGATCACTTAGAGCTTTTGCTGTAATCCTCTTCTTGTTTCTCCTCATGGGGTCCAAAATCCTAATTTACAGCTTTTAAGATTAGAGTTCCCTTAAATTTAAGGGAGGATTACTAGAAACAAAGTCTCATCAATTGTTATTTGTTTAATTCATTGGGTCACATCTACGAATGCAAAATATACACATAACTGAATAATGACATGACAAGGTAGAATAGAATCTATTGATAGTAGAATCCTATTTATGAGTGACACTAATACATATAAAGTTACCTAATACATGTGAGGAGGAGAGCTATAAGGCAAGCCTTATGCCTCTTGACAAATTTACTTTCTATTGTATAATTAGGGTAACAGTAGCATAATTTCCCAATTAGCATGGTTCATTCTGTTATTTAATTAGGTCCTTCTTGAAATCAGTGGTTCAAGTGCTAGTGTGCCCACTAGTTTTTATAACTATTCTAATTGTGTGAACAAATTCATTGCATTTGGCTATTAAGAGATAATATTCCTCTTGTTGAAATCCCTGAGCAAAAGCTAAACTTAAAAGAAATCAAAATATTTTTATTCAGTTATCCCTGAAGTTGCTAAGCAACCAAAATGTCAATTAGATTCCTTGGGAGTAAATACTGGCTTCACAGACTTCAGGCATCCCATTGGGACCAGGTTGTTCTCTTTTTATAAAGAAGAGGTGATTATACCTATCCTTAGTGTTATTTTATTTATTTTACATTTTACAATATACCTGAATTATATTTAATAGGAGTAGAAAATTTATTCATCTATATGCATTTATCTGGAATACATGTGGCTGTAATTCAGTAAAGGATACATCTTTTAATAGTAGTCTGAAAGGTGATACCAGACTCTTTCTGATTTCTTTGGACATTTCTCTCCAAACACATTCATGGCCAAAGGAGGCAAAAATTAAGAACAGTTAAGAAATATTTTGCTGAAAATCTTTCACATAAGGAAGAAATGGAGGAATGATGCAACTCAAGAATAAGTGGCAGTTATGCTTCCAGTTCAGTTCTGATTACAGCCATAGGATCCATATTAAAATTATTTTATCTAGAGCAGGGGTCTCCAAATCTGGCAACTTTAAGACTTCTGGACTTTAACTCCCATGACTGCCTGAGGAATTCTGGAAGTTGAAGTCCCCAAGTCTTAAAGTTGCCAAGTTTGAAGGCCCCTGATCTAGACTAAGGCTAGAATAAAGTTTGCACAGCCTCCATTAGCAAGGCATACTAATATCTTCATGAATTATCATTATCTTCACCTCAGTGAGACTCTTGATAATCTTGCTGTTAGTGCAAGAATGATATTGTTCAACATGGAAGTATAATTCATTGAAAGATACTGTATTGTGACTCTCCCCCCATCTGCTAGCTGATAAGTAAAAGACCCCCATTCCAAAAGACAATGTTTCATATTATTCACTGCAATTACTTGGACCGATCATGTGGGGGGAAAAGCTATGTAATCCTTTGGGAGGTGGAGAATAAAGAGCATTAAAGGCCACATATGATTTCCTATTCTTGCTTTAAGACAATACAAGAATGAATATATCAGCTTAAGAATAACATTTTAACACAATTTGTTAATAAATTTAGTAGGCATTCCATTTTACTACTTCAGTCTCAGCTCTCCCTTCTCCAGAATTAGGAAAGGACTGAGCTAACCCTATGGCACAGATGTAGAGGCCTTCCAGAAACCATTAAAGGGAAATTATAACCCACTGGGATACTATTTTGCAATTCTGTGGTAGCAAATGGTGGCAAAGCAATTAGTTTTAAAAGAAAAGAATGCAAATAAAGAAACTTCTGTGTTACTACCATCACCTGCTAAGATAAGTTCCCTCCAGGGCATACAGCTGTTTACATTTTCTTTTCTTTGTGTCCCTCAAATCACTATTTTGCTTTTTCCTCCCTCTTCCCCCCCTTCCTCTTATTTCCAAGAATCACATAGCAATGAAAATGTCAGCAGAGCTTAGCCAAGATGCTGGGTTAATTCTGACTAGTTTACATTTGATTTCAGGATCTCATATAATTTTGATAAATTTGTCTATTAGTTTTAGGCCTCAGTGTATCAAATTGTCCTCTCAATCTCATTTCTTTCAGAATCTCACTCGACAAATATAGTTTCATGGAACATTCATGATTCTCAACAAACATTTTTTTTAATCATATCATAATGATGTTTAGGATACTAAGTATATATTTTGGAGTTTTTCCATTGATCAAACAACTTGATAAATAAAAAAATAGTATTTACCTTCCTCATAGAAATAAATTATAGCTGCTGTTGGAGTATTACTTAGGGTTTAAATAATCTTTTTTTATAATAATTGTTATTGGAAATTAAAATTCAAACATAAAAAGCTAATACAAAATGAGAAAAATATAAAAAATAAAAAGTGTAGAGAGGGGAAAGGGGAAAAGGTAAAAATTTAAAGAAAAAAAGATATATAAAGAAATAATTTCCCCTTCATCAAGACAAGTCGATAACTTACTACTTTCTCAAACAGTTCAACCAAAACTTTCTTCATCCCATATCTCATTTTTATCTATTAGTAGATAATAAAGCCTCATCATTCAATCAGCAAGTATCCATTAAAACATATACCTGCATGCACGTCCAGTTTTGCGCAGTAGTGTAGCAGCTGAGGGATTGTGGGGCTCCACACTCTACAACTGATTTCTGCCTGCCAGGGGACCCTAAATGGGCCTGAAATTGCCCCAC